TAATTGAAATTGATTTCAGTACTTGGTATTCCTAGAGAGGAAAATACAATCATTTACATTATGACACATTCCCATGGTATAGTCTTCCCTTTATGATGAGATGCAGTTCAGATTCACAAGTTTTAGTCTTCAGGAAAAAGAGAAAGGTGGCTGTGGTTGACAAGTGTCTTTGTGGGCATAGCCGACTGAAGTGGCCATGAGAGAAAGTCATTTTGGGCACTGTCAGGGTAATCTTCAAATGGGACTGGGAAATAAATTTCATGTTTGGGAACCCCAGTCTCTAGCTTTGTTCTTTGTGGTGTGCATCCCTATCTCCCCTCTGCACTGACCTTGAAAAAAACAACATGCTCTTCATGTTCTCAGGAGACGTGTCTCCCAATAGTCTTCCTCTCCAAGTCAACTTGGAACTCATTCACACCAAGGTGAATGTGATTACTAATGGTTAATATCTTACTTCTTTTATAAACTAGGAATTAAAAATAATGCATAAGACCTCAGTGGAGAAAATTTTGAAACACTATCAAAGTGTATAAAAGAAGACCTTAAGTAGTAGAGAGACAGAAAATGCTCTTGGGCAGAACTAATTCATATTATAAAGATATTAATTCTCCTCAAATTAATCTTTAAATTGAATGAGAGCTGAATGAAAGTTTCTGCTGCATTTTCCCAGGAAGTTGACAAACTTATTACAAATTTATGTAAAATATATATGAAAGTCCAAGAATAGTAAGAGGAAAAATAAATAAACAAATGCAACAAAATAGAGAACTCAGATAGTATTCATACACGGGAAACTCACATATGTTAAAGGACTCATTGTTTGGCAAATTGTGTTGGGAAAACTGTCTCACTATGTGAAGAAAATAAAACAGGCTTCCTACTTTCTGTCATATACAAAAAGGCATTAAAGACCTGACTGTGAAAGGCCAAGCCATAGAGTAAGTAAAAGATAGTAGAAGATAGTAGAACATCTTTGTGACCTAGTGATAGAGAGTGTTTTTTTAAACAGTCTTGAAAGTGTAAAGATAAAATGAAAAAAGTCTTAAATTACATCCAAATTAAGTTTTCTGTCCAACAAAGGGCAACTACACAAAGTTAAAGTTTATGTTTACAATCTAAAAGAGCAATTTTTTATTGTTGTTCAAGTGTAGTTGTTTCCATTTTCTCCCCACCACTCACTCTCTGACCCTAGCCACCCCCAACTCCCTCCCCTGACCCCACCCCCCTTTGTTTTGTCCATGTGTCCTTTATACTTGTTCCTGAAAACCCTTCTCCCTTCCCTCCCATTATCCCCTCCCACCTCCCCTCTGCTTACTGTTAGTTTGTTTTTTAATTTCAGGGTCTCTGGTTATATTTTGCTTGCTTGTTTGTTTTGTCAGGTTCCCCATTTAAAGGTGAGATCATATGGTAAAGAGAGTAATTTATAAAATATATAGGGCACTCTTACAAACCAACAACAAAAACAACAGTAACAACAACAGACCAAAGCCCACTAGAACAATGGGCACCTGATGTGAACAACTGATTCATAAAAAGGAAAAGCCCAAGTGGCTACAAGTATGAAGAAAAATGAAAATTAAAGCAAAAATAAGATACCATTTTATATCTCAAAAAGCTAGCAAAATTAAAGCTGGATAATACCACGTGTGAGTTGAGAAGTAAGAAAACAGGAAGCTTTCTTCACTGATATGAGAGTATACCTGTGCTGCCTTTCTGGAGAGCAATCTGGCAGTAAGTATCTAGCAAAAGTAAATGAACTTATTCCTATGACTCAGGGACCTAATATTCCAAAGATATTTTTTAAAAAATAGAATCAAATAACTTGCATGAGGTTGTTTAGTGCTGCAATGCTTGTAGAGTGGGCAGTTGGAGGGGGTTTAGGTGCTCATCAAAGGGAAAACAGATATGTAATGGAATGCCATATTAGAAAGAGGAGCTACGTATAGCAACATGGATAGATTATAAGACCTTGGTGCCATATGTACAATTAAGAAAGAGAATCACTCCTGTAAAATAAAAATACCTACATGTACTAAAACAACACTTCATGTTTTATAGGGATGCACACATGTTCAGAAAGGTATATCGAGTATATTAGAGCAGCCACTGTGATAGGCATAGAGGTGGTGGTGGGTATTTGGTGCAGAGGGAATGAGGATAATGAGGGTAATATCAGAGAGAGACAGGTAGCTTGTATGGAACAATGATCATGTGTGTTGTACTGAGGAGTATAAAGAATAAAAAACATTTTACCTGAGAGACTTAAGGACCTACTTCTTCTAGAGAGATGTGTACTTCAGAAGGAGGTATTGTGGATTTCCAAGCATTGGTTAACAAGTTGGGAAATAGTTTTATCATGTCGTCAGTGAATATTTATTCATTATCTACTATGTGCCAGACACTGTTTTGGATAGTAGAGCTAGTATAATGAATGAGACAGAATAGCCTTCCTTCAGTTTGGCTATTCTGCTTAGTCCTTCCTGGCGTTAGACCAGGTAGATTGTTGCAAATATCAAAGATCAACCTTGGGTAAAGAAAGTCTGGGGCCTGGGAGCATGACTCTGAGGTTGCCCTTTACTTGAGGTGGCTTCTGGGAGAGATTTGAAAATTCTTAAGGAAACAACAAGAGAAGGCTGATTATGACCTGAAGTTATTTAGCACGTGTATGTCTCCAGTTATTTTTTCACAGAAGCCATTTTATTCTCTATGTATAATCTCTTTTAATACAAATGTTTTTCAGTCTCCTTGGATGACTGTTTACAAATCCACTTTAGTGGGTTTTGGTCAAGCTCACTAAAACCTAAATCTTGACTCCATTAATACTTCCTTATTAATGATTAATCAGGGAGATACAATGAATAATAGACATGTAGCTGCTACTAAAGACTGGTTTACAATCTTCTGGCATTCTACTTTTGTTTCACAGCTATTTATTACCTATTCAGGAGTAATAATGAAGCTGGCAAGTAGTACTGAGTCAAACCCCAACTTCAGAAGTGCTAATGTCAAGGCAGTCTCAAAACTACCTTCAGGCCTGTTCCCAAAGATATTTAGTAAATTACTTAATTTCACAGAACTACTTATCTCTTCATTCAAATGTTCTTGTTGAGACTTCCCTATGTGCGTAGCACTGTTCTAAGGTCGGAAATACAAAGATGAAAGAGACAGAGATTTTCCCCTCAAAAGCATATAATTCAATGATGTCAAAACTTATTTTCCCATGGGAAAAAAGTATGTATGCTTATCAGGTTCCCAGGCAAACCAACAAAAACCTCTTTATAGACTAGCTTAACTCAAGTGTTAATATAATTATATAGAGTTCTGGACAAAAATGGCCATATTTTATATAAATAGGAAATTGGATAAAAAAGAGTTTCCTCATCTTGGACTCATGAACATCCCCAAGAAAATGTCTGGAACAAGGAACAAGTATAAAGGACACATGGACAAAAACTAGGGGCTGGTGGAAATGGGAGGGAGGTGGGGAGGGCTGGGTGGGTGGGCTGGTTTGGGAGTAAAAGATAGAAAATTGTACTTAAAAATAATTAAAATAAAATAAGATAAGATAAAATAAAATAAAATAAAATAAAATAAAATAGAAAATGTTTGGAACAAGTTTGGTTTTTATGTACCTTCCTTACCCTTCCCTTTTGCATCACTTTCTTAAGGCCGCCTTCCCAAATGCTGCGTCCTCACACTGTTCTCATGCTTCTCTGTGGCTCCGCACTGGGATCTGTGCTGTCTCACAAGATGGTCAAGGTTCTTCAATTACTCCCTTTCCTTCTTCCACTCTTCAACTCTCCTGATCTTTGGTAGTTATGAGGAGAGAAATCTGATTGAACTAATTTGCACAAATTCACATTCCTTCTAGCAGTAGACCAGTGCAGTTGCCCCCTCCTTTGAGCCCTTGGGAGGGTTTCCAGTCTAGATTTCTGGTGTTATATAGAAGTCAACGTATTTTTGATAATTTGAAGTTAATGTGTAGCCACTATATTGTCAAAGTCTCCTCTCCAAAAATCCATATATATACACTAAAAATTGTTATAAGATTTTGAAAGTATTATTTTAAGACTTGTGTGTTGTTTAGAAAGAGTAAAACTTCAAGATAAACTGCTACATCTCTCTATTCTTTAAATGCTTGCATGTTGAGAGAAATGATGATAAAATTACTCAACATTAATATCTCCAAACTTAAGCTGATGTTGATTTTAATTAAATGAAAATAATTTAAGATATATTTGCAATTATAATATAATGGATATGATCACTTAAATAAAAGAATGGGAGGCAAACGGTGCTTAGATTAACCAACACTTTTATTTTTAGAATGTAAGTCTTCTTCAGGATTTAACACATGAAAAATAAGGTATAATTATTTTTAAAAATTGAATTATCTCCAAGATGTCCTTACTGTTTATTTTAAAGCAGAGGATATAGGACACAGGTCCTAATTTCTGACCACCTCTAATGAGATAAGAATCTTTGAGCCCATGACCAAAATGCATACTCAGTTACTGTAGGAAATCAAAAAATATTACACTAAACCTGGAATCTATAAAGACAAAGCAAGCGGTTTCTTTGAAAAATATGTCAGGTTTAGAAAATTTCTAGGATTTACCTATAAAAACACCCTCTGGGACCTAACAGTGACGTCTTAGGGAAACACTTGCATATCAAGGTGGGAAGGATGGGAGGCCGCGTTCTGTGGGCTCCTCCAGTGGTTAGGTAGTTCTCAGAAGACAGCGCTGGAACTTAGATAATTGCTGATGTCATATTTTTACAATAAAAAAAATTTGGTGTTCTAGGGCTATAAAAGTAGCAGCTTCTACCTTTGTATCACAAGAAGAATCATTGGAACAGGTAAGTGTTTCAGCAAACTTAGTACGATTGGTTTTGTTGTAAAACTTCATGATACTTAATTTTTTCTCTGTATGTTCTTGCTTTGTGATTCCAGGTTCTTCTACCTTAGCTGCTGATTGCTCAAGTTGGCATTGTCTGTAATGGCCACCCTGCAGAAATCTGAAAGCTTTTCCCTTATGGGGACTCTGGCTGCCAGCTGCCTCCTTCTCATTGCCCTGTCGGTGCAGGGAGGAGCAGCCGTCCCTGTCAGGTCTCACTGCAGGCTTGATAAGTCCAACTTCCAGCGGCCCTACATCACCAACCACACCTTCATGCTGGCTAACGAGGTACTCATCTCAATCTCTCTCTTTCATATCTTATCCACTTGGAACCCAAAAGTTCTTAAATTTTTCTGCAGAATACATCTGAGGTCTCTAAGAACCCAGCACTTATCTCTACTGGTAGACTAGAGATCATTTTCTGCTTGTTCATAGACTCTCTGGGGATTAGGTTTTATAGGAAGACCTTACATCTTGGCCTTTAAAATGTGTACATTGAGTTTCACTCCAAAAGGAGCCATGTAGTAGCCCATCTGATTATTCATTTTCCCTTTACTCCTCTGAGCATTATTTTAGACTCATACAGACATCCAATTCTTTCCTCAGTCTTCAGGGCGCTGCTATTGGGAGAGAAGATAAAGTACATCTCTACTTACAGACTTTCCTTCTATGTCCTTGATGTCCAATCATTTAGTTCTTTCTTCTCTTCCAGGCTAGTTTGGCAGATAACAACACAGATGTTCGTCTCATTGGAGAGAAACTGTTCCGCGGAGTCAATGTAAGCCATAGTAGTGATTAGCAGGGCAGTGTGCCACCCATGGTTATTTGGAGCAGTGATGATGACTGTTTGGGTCTTCTGGATGTGCCCTTCTATGACCCCTGCTGTTTCACTTTTGCCTGCAGATGAGCGAGCGCTGCTATCTGATGAAGCAGGTGCTGAACTTTACTGTTGAAGAAGTGCTGCTCCCCCAGTCTGATAGATTCCAGCCCTACATGCACGAGGTGGTGTCCTTCCTGGCCAGACTCAGCAATGAGCTAAGCCAGTGTGTAAGTTCTTCTCCCAGCCTAAGTCCACCCACTCCTAGTTACCTGCCTTTCCTCCTTCTCCCATTTAGAGTTCTTTCCCCTTCCTTCTCATTGCCCCCTCCCATGGTGGCAGTAAGAGGTGCCTCAGCAACACTAATATAGGAGTCATTTGTAATCATAGAGTATTTGTATTTGCTTTAGTTGAGTCACATTTTGAGTTTATGGTGATAGATGGGGTCTGAAAGACAAGTGCATGTAGAAGGCTCATTTGTCCTTAGGGAAGAGCAATGCAGGGTATATGAGATGAGAAACGTGTTGGGAGCTGTAGGGAAAAATGTCTAGGAATGGAAATGGGGCCACCAAGTATACATTGATGAAGGGAAAGGATGGGAAAGAGAGAAAGAGGGGAATGGGAAGATTTAATGTTCCAGGGTGGGTGGGTGAAGATGCTTGCCCTTTGGCTGTCATGGGAGGTAACAAAATCAAAGGCATGTGTATTTGATGCCTCTAAACGTTTAAAACTATGACAAAAGTTCGAGTGAAGTGGGAAGAGCAAAGGGGACCTAGTACTTCTTGAGGAAGGCCCACTGTTCACATGAGATGTTTTATGTACCTTTCTTTTTCTGAGCATGCATTTTGGATGAGGTACAGTTATGGTTTTAATCTTGACAGAATTTGCATAAACCACTCCACCCTTTCCACAAACTTAAACCTCAGTAAGCGTTCCCAAAAACGAAGAGAGGTCCCATATAAGGGAAATTACTGGATTTTGGTGTCCACGGGAATTGAAGAGCTCGGAAAATTTAGGTCACTGGTGAAATCTAGGTCATTGTGGGCAAAAATGCTGAGAACTTTACTTCCAGGTGAATTGTAACATACTTCAGTTAGGGACACTGAGGTTCATAAAGTGTCAGTATGAATGTTCAAATAACTCCTCTGGTTTTCACTTTGTAGCGCATTGAGCGTGATGACCAGCATATCCGCAGAAATGTGCAACAGCTGAAGGACACGGTGAAAAAGGTACTACTAATAATTATGAATGCTGAATCATGAAATAAGAGAGACAAATGGTGTTTCTTCCTTTTCTTTCTTTGACCACCTCACGTTGTGATTTTTTACTTGATTCTTCTACCATTAGGTTGATCATTCAGGTGTATAAGCATAGAGATATGTCTATATATTTATAAATCACTTTCCAAATTTTGCAAGCTATAGAATTCCAGAGCTGTCTGGGGAGTTAGTTCATCTAATCTCCTAAGCCCCTGTTCTGGGGACAGCCAGTGGCAAAGCCAGGGCTAGAACCCAGTTCTCCAGGATCCCATCCAGACTAGAGCTCTTTCAGCAGCAGTATGTGTCAGTCTCAGCATTATTAGTTCTTAGGGAAAATTAAGATCCTTACAGTCTATGTAATCCAAAAAAGCACTTGTTTAAGAACAGAAAAAGGCCTAGGGGACAAATTTATTTGAAGTGACTTTTGAAGCCATTAATATGATGATTTAAAACTTGAAGAAATAAACCCAGAATAATCATAACAAAAGAGCTTGACTTGAATATTGGCTAAATTTCTGGAACGATTGGTACTTATATTTAATTATCATAATTTAATACCTAACAACTACTGATTTGAATTTAAAAGCAAGAGTGAATAACCCTCAATTTTCTTTATACAATTTCAAATAGAATAAAAATATTAGTCATAGATTTATTATAGAAACATGAAAGTTTGAACTGGAAATCTTTTCTTCCTCTGTCCCTTTCCCTTCCTTTCTAGTCTACTCTCCATTGCAATAAACCCTTAGGTAGATAGTGGGCAGCTATCTGGTGTAAGCCAGCATATATTTCTATAGTGAATGATACTGTCATGTGGCCTGTTTGGAAAAAAGAACAACTGTATAAGGCTCAACTAGCAAATGTGACTCATCCAAAAACTAGAGGAATGATTAGTGGCAGCGAAAGTGATGCTCTTGCAAGCAGGTACAATTAAACCTCAGAAGCATGAAGGCTATGGCTGATAAAATATTCAGCAATAAGCATAATCACAAATCCCCCTTTTTTCCATCTCGATGTTTTCTACAAAATGTATTTCATCCTGAGCGTGATTTAATGAGCATAATGGGTTCTTCGTTTGTAGTTTTTCACAGTGAAGCTCAATTCTCTTGTCATAGAACCATTACTTAGACATGGAGGGCTGTGTATTGGCATGCCACAGCTAAGAAATGCTTTACCTTTCTGGTTTGAACATCCTTGATGTCCCTGATGTTGGTTTACTTTGTGGTCCTTAGGAAAGTGAAGTGTGAGAGAGAAAAATATGATGGTGATCTGTGTGAAAACAGAGATTTTGAAGCTTTTACTCCATTTTGAGAAAATTAACATCCATATGTGCAATAGATTGCCACATGGAAGAGTGGTGATGCTTTTTTACCCTGTCACTCCATAGGGCATGGGCAGAAGAGGGGAAGGTTCAGAGAAAGCTCAAAGTGAGGAAAAACTGGGCAGTGCTGCCTGAAATGGGAGGGAAATCTTGGGGGGTATGCATTTCCTGTCACTGGAGGAGAAAGCAGAGAGCAAACTGCAGTAGAATGGATGACAAGACAACAGGGCAAGATAAACTTTACATTTTTCTACACAAATATCCCTTGGCATTGTGGAAGAGTGGAAAGGTAAAATGGTGGAAGAAAGCAGGAAGAGAAAGGAGAGCAAAGTATAGAGGACAATGGTGACTCATGGCTTTTCTTCAGATGATCTAGAGTGAATTTAATAGAATAGATGAACTTCAGAAGAGGATGCCTTGAATGAATGTGGTTCTCTCTTCCATTGGGTTTGAATGCCTCATTCATTCACACCCTACTTGGAAGAAGAAGAAGAAAGAAGGAATGTTAGAATCTATATTTGATTTTCTACTAATTAAAGCAACTAACTAGGATTTATTTGGTATTTTCACAAAAGTGAAAACCTGTTTGTTTTGTTAAGAAGATGGGAACAGAAAAAGCCCATGTGTGTTGGTAAATGTGTAGTTTTGATTTAAGGCTGTTGTTATGAATAGTTAGTGGGTCATAGGCAGCGGCAGGACTATGGGGTAGGCCACAAAAGCATAATGGGTGGCACTCTGGGGAAGCCTCCATCTGTTTGCTCTGGTTAAGCAGTGGTTTTAAACAGCTTCATTAGAGTGAGATGCAACAGAGACTGATGCCTCTTGGTGCCTCTCAGTTCAGATAGTCACAATTTAAGTTCCTCAGCAAATCATTATATTCTTGCTAATGGGCATTGCCATTAATCTTTCACAAAAGGCTAAAATTTGGTTTCTCTCTCAGCAACCTAACCATGTCATCTTTTTCTAATTTGTCTCTCTTTTAAAAACATGTGTAAATACTCAAATATTTGTTTTTTCTGATTTTCACAGCTTGGAGAGAGTGGCAAGATTAAAGCAATTGGAGAACTAAATTTGCTGTTTATGTTCCTGAAAAATGCCTGCATTTGATCACAGCAAAGCTGGAAAAGTGGATAATAACCCTTCTTGCTGTTGGAAATAACAATAAGAGCCCCAGACTTTTTTTTTCCAAAAGGAAAATGGGAAAACAAACTCCACGATTATGGGTAGATTCTAAATAAATAAACCCCTGCTTAGCTTAAAAAAGAGAACAATGTCACTTGTGTCCATAAGACTAGAAGGTAGCCCTTGCAAGCATGAGATTTATTGCTAATGTTTTATTGTAGTGGGCCCTTTATACACAGAAATTTATTTTTAAGCAATTGTCTATTCTTACAAAATTTACTTCCCATTCCTTTTGGAAAAAAGACACCTAAATAACTTCCCTTTTATAATTAGTACCTTATTTGTATGAATTTATTTATTGTTATAAGTACACATTTTATTTATATCATTTTACTATATGGATTTATTTATAGAATTGTGATATTGCTACTTAAGTGTAAGGCTAATATTAATATTTATGACAATAATTATGGCTCTATAATATGTCTATTTAAACTCAATAAAACTTTAATATCTTAAACTTTGTGACTTTGTCATTTTTCCTTTGATATTATTGTTGTCATCACCATCCTCCTCCTCCTCCTCATCTTCATCATCATCATGTAATCATTTTCAATTGCTTAATGAGTCAAGAACTTCATATAATGAACTTTGCTCTTGAGTCACAGCAAATGAGATGACTATTAGTAGTACCCCATTTTATAGATAAGAAAACGGAATCAGAGCCACGTTAAAAACATTGTGTAACTATGAGTAGTTGATTCTTACTGAGCTTGGGCTATCTGAGTTCTGGGCTCTTTGCTATATCGCCTATATAGACTTATTATGTTGATTCAGTGTGTAATTCTGAAATACAAAGGTAGGAAATTAAAAAGAATCCACCTGCATCATTAGCAATTTGTGTATAAAAGGAAGGAGTGAAGCTGTTGGGGAAGAAATACATGGAGCCTCTATTGCTGCAGGTGAACTGTTTTAGTTCTAGTTCAAGCCTATTAACAGGGGAGCACTTCCAACTTTTCCAGTAAATCAGGAAATAAAGGGGAAGCTTACTGAGTTGGGGGAGTCTATCTGCTAGTGGAGTTTAGCACACATAGAGAAGTCTTGTGTGTGGAAGGTGAGCAAGATATGAAGCACACTGAAGAGAGAGAGTGAAAGCTCTACATCTTCAAACTTTGTACAGTGGTTCAGAGAAGAGAGCGAAGAGGTAGAGATGCAAGGTGGACTAGTTCTATCTGGAATGATGAACAGATGACACCAGAACTGAAGAATGTATGGGTCTTTCTGTAGAAGGTGAAATTCAGTTGTCAATTATCTAAGGTATTTTCTTTAAAAAATCAGGATTCCTGGGCTTATCCTTCAGGTCATTCACCAATTGTTTGCCAAGTTCCTGTGGAAGGAAGACAAACCTGGTGGTAATAGGTGAGCATGTATACAGTTTGTGAGTTCACTTGTGGATAAAGCAGAACTAAGACTTTTGAGTGTGCACTCTGAACAATGAGAGGTACCAGAGCTAAGCTTCAGGGATGACATAATTTTAATTACTTCTGGGGTAAATTGGGGTTTAGGACTCTTTCCTCTCTTCTTCCAAATGAGTCTCAGTGTAATGCCTTGAGCAAAATCTGGCATTGTACTTTGTTTTGACAAATTTTTAGAAATGAAGCCATTAATGGAAGAATACTCTTAAATTGTATTTATGAGAGCAAAGAGACTGAAATACAGAGATTTAAACATTCTGAATGCAGATGAACATAAGGTATAGGGTGCCAAGAGCTTCTTCAATTCTGGAGGGCAATGCTGACAAGCTGGGAGCTCTATGAGATAGTCCCAGTTCCTTGTAGGGAGTCTTGACATAATCATTGGCACCTGTTGTAGCTTTTTTTTTTTGCATCAGTCGCTGTGGCTAGCATTTGGCTGGTGCTGCCAGCATTGCTCATGTTCTTGCCATTAGCAGAGGACTTGGGTGTCTCCTCTCCCAGTAGCAGATGGCAGCACCCAGGTCTTCAAGAAGACTAACCTATGAGGCTGTGTGAGACGCAGCACCCTGAGATACTAATGATAACTTAGGACCGATGAGAAACCACTGGAGGGTTTCAACTATGGGAAAGACTTGATATGACTCATGTTCTGTAAAGGTCACTGTGGCTGCTGGATAGGTCTTCTGTGTGTGTTTGTGCGGGTAGTAGGGTTGGGTGGTAAGGACAGACGCAAGGCCAGAGCAGCTGTCCAGGGAGGGAGGATGATTGTACTAGAGAAATGGGAGTTGAGTCAGAGAAACTTGGTGTGTGAACTGTGACACTCAGCTTGGCCTGCTTGGAAAATAAGAGCTGTGTATGGAGCATATGCAATAGCAGGAAAAGTGATCATTTAGTTTTTCTTCTGGTCCTTCATTTACACTCTATTATTCACTAGAATGCAGTGCTTCATGTGGGACTTAAAGACAGAGAGGTGATTTGTTCTGAAAAGAACATTTTAAGATCTGAGTGGAGATACTTCTATCAGAAGAGGAGAATGCAGGGGTTCCAGGGGTGGAAAGCTGAGTCTTCTTATCTCAGAGGCAACCACAGCTATAGCAACTTTATCTTTTTCATCTCATTTCAAGGAGTGTTTACTTTTGAAAAACAAATGGAGGAGGCTGAGATGACTGACCCTGATCTCCAAGAGGAAATTGCATTACTGCTACACCATGAGGCTGGGTAGACTGTGACTGGACCAGGGAGTTTGCTCGATTGTCTTGTCAATTTGCTTGACAGTCTCATTACAGAAAATTGCATCAACCCCCAAGAGACAGGATCATGAAGACCTCCATTTTCATAGGAATGAGGGTTTAAGTCACCTTATCAGGTAATGAATTTTGTGCAATGGAGGTGTAGGGAGAAGGTAAAGGAAAAATAGAATGGACAAAGAATTAATTTGTGATTATTAATTTAGAATCTATGAACAGCTATAAAAATAGGAACTATAGTTTCTGCTGATATAGTTTCTGCTAATAAATTACTTGTCCTGTTTTCTCCTCCTCCCTTCTCTTTTTGGGGCTGATATTTTAGCTTTCTAGTGGGTGTATAACCATATTGATATCATCCTACAATGATACAGTAGTTGATGAGATTCTAAGTATTTGCTGTGTAGGAGACACATTTTTTGCCTGAACAAAGGCAACAGTGGCAGCTGAAGACCAAAATGATGGGCTGTCCCAACTTGGTCCTCCTGATCCATCCACTGTTCTTTCTGATTCCACTTTGTGCCCGGAGAGGCTGATATATATGAGTTGCCCAATATATGTGCTTCCTTTCTGTTTACTTTTTTATCACATTTGACAAGTGGATAAATTAGCAGGAGTTCTGAGAATGAAAATAAGGTCCGAGTATTTATTGCTGTGGAACCCTCCTGCCAGATTGCCACGCAGGTCAGTTGTATACTTCTACCAAAAGCTCCTTGTAGATGACTCTCTTTCATATAGTTCTCTTTCCTGGTTCTGGAAATTTCTCTCAATCCTGTTCCCTCAGAAGCTTACATCTATTGTTAGCTTCGAGACATTGTGCTATTTCTTGTAGGGTTTCTTAAATTCTTTCCACACCTTAAAAAAATCAATCCCATAAACTCTTCTCCCTTACCCAGTTTAGGTGTAATGGAGGTTTTCTGCTGGGATTCTGATGCATGCATCTCCTTTCTCACTTCTGTGCTCCCACCAGTCCCTGCCCAGAAGCAGGATGGAGTCGGCCAATTCAGGTGACATCATCTATGGACCATAAATAGAGCCAGTTTTGGGCATGTCTGAGTTGTGTGTAAATTTCTGACCCAGCAATAAAGTGAAATCAGAAACAATGGTATACGATTTCTAAAATTAAAACACGTTCTTTGATTTAAAAAGTACTATTTCTCCAACAGATTTTTCTAGAGGGGAACAGAGGTGCTTAGGGCAACACACAGTATCACTGGAAGGAATTAAAGAGCCTCTTCTCCCCTTTGATCCAGGAATCTTGTGTTTCTTTCTGCAGCTCTCTCCCCACTGCAGCCCTTCCAGGCACACATGGGAATCTTTGTTTCAGTCGGGCTACCCTTTCAGCTGTAGGATAGGAGAATTATTACACTTGAATAATTCTGACTCCTCTAAACCTGAGGTTCCTTTGCTGTGTGTGGCCCTTCTTTCTCCTTTTTTTTGTTACAGCTGCAAAGGATATTCAGGGTCACATGCATGGTCCTTTTAGTCACAGTCTCCTCCTTATTTCTATGGGGTTTAACCCTCTGGGTGGTTCTAAGCATCCCATATGTATGTGTGGGTTAGCTTCAATACCACCTAGAAATCGACCAGTTGTGTCCTTCCTAGCAGGTGCTGTTTATTTTTGAAAACTGTATGCTGTAAGACGCTTTTATGAGCTGTTTTTTCATCTGTGACATTTTCATCTTGCCATCGCTGCAGATGCTATTTTTAGGCATGATGACTGCCCAAGAACCTACGAACTTTACATTGCTGCTTGACTCAATGACACCCTAAGAAATTTCAATTCAATTTAGTCCAGTAAACAACTATTTAGATCTTAGGAAAGACAAGATCCTGTGTAAGGGCTGTGAAAACATAAGGTAGCCATAATTTGGGTTCTCTCTGGTGAGGAAGACAGGAAAGCAACTGCTTAGGGAACTGAAATGTGCTGTGGGAGAGGCAGTGACAAGATGATGATCATCACTGCAGATGACACCAAAGTTGCATTTCTGCTGATCTTTTGCAGGATAAGAAGAATTTCAGCAAGTTTAAATGTTGTCTCCTCTATAAAATCTCCCCTTTTCTTCCCCTTTGCAACCTAGGCATAGTTAATGGCTCTGTCTTCAGGACTCTCAAAGCATAATTTACATCTCTCAGCATTTGTCACAATGCAGCTTGATTATTTGTCATGTGTTTATCTTGAGAGATTTTAAAGGACATAAACTGTTGTTCATCTTTGTGTTCCAGGACCTGAAAATGCCAGCCTCTTTAGAGATGCTTGGTAAAT